GCAGCACTGTCTCCCGTCTGGAAGTCATCACTCAACACTGCCTCGCAGGCTGGTGGCCCCCAACCAGCCCCGGGGTTGGCACCAGAACCACCTCATTCCTCGGGGAGAAGCTTCCCCTCTGCCCCCCACCCCGTTCCTTTCCTCGATCCCTCACCCTGGCCCTGCAGGGAGGGTCTGGAGGTGGAGGGTCTGCTGTATAGGGGAAGAGGCTGCCGTGGGGCTGGGCCCTGCTGGCGGCTTACTTGCTTATCCTTCTTGATGCAAATAAATAAATAAATAAACCCAGAAGTAATGTGACGGGTTTCCTCTGGGCCCTGCCAGCCCTTTCATTTCCTGTGCGAGAGGCCTGCTGGGGAGAGGTGGGTGGGCAGGAAAGGGCAAGGGGGGCAGCCTTGTCACGTGGGGGAAAGCTTTCCCTTCCCCCACAGCCTCTGTTCACACCCCTTCATATGTGCTCACGTGTGCACAGACACACACGTGCTCACACACAGACACACTTATGCCAGGTACAACACGCAAACAGGGACACCCGTCCAGTGACAGGCACAGATAGAGACAAACAGACAAAGGCACACACATGCACACACATGCACACACACATGCACACACACATGTGCACATGCATGCAGCCCCACAGACCAACCAGGCAAGGCCTCCTGACACCCACTGTAGCTACATGGGGTTACTGTCCAGGCTGGGGGTGAGGGGCCGGGTTCCAGTGGGCTGTGCCAGGGGCGGCCGACTGGACTGGAGTGTCCTGGGGGCCACCTTGCCGCAGGGGTCAGGCTGCTGCAGCTGCCCAGCTGTGGGACACCCCCACGCCATTCTTACAGCCCCTGAGTTGGGCGCCCTGGGCCTCCACCCACAGAACAGGTGCAGACTGGGTGCTGGGGTCGAGGGGGCTCAGAGACTCTGGTGACTGGTCTGAGGAGATGAGGCGCTGGGGAGACAGGGCCTGCAATCTGCAAACAGGGGCCCTTGCTCTTAGACGCCATGTTCCCACCACTTGTGCTCGGGGCGCCCCCTGGTGGCCAGACATTGTGGCTGTGCAGGCCGCCGCAGCAGATCTGGCTGGCCGGGCCTGCCCACTGCCTTCCGCTCACCCAGGCCCCTCCCCGTGTCTTCCCTTCCTCTGCCAGTTTGGGCCCAGGGTCCTCTGCAGGCCCTGTGGCCTTCCTTCCCTGCCTCACCCACTCGTCAGCGCTGTGGGTTCGTACCCATGATCACCAGCACTGCCCCTGCCCACACTCACGTGTCTCCCAGAAGGGGAAGCTGGCGAGGGTTGGCACTGCCACGCTCTGCTTTGCTCCCCCGGGGCCTGCCTGGCTGGCTGGCACAGGGGGCAGGTTCAGGCGAGGACCAAGTCCCTGTCCCTCAGAAGATGTACAACCCCCCAGCACAGCCCCCAAGGGTCTGTGGCCCCTAGAATCACTCCTGGGATGGGGGAGGGGTGCACAGGGTGCGCCGAGTGGGGGTCTGCAGGGGGAAGGGGATAAGCGAGGAGGCTGTAGGACGTGCAGTGACACCAGGAGGCTATGCTTGACCCTGAGCAGAGGGGGCCCGACCGAGAAAGCCTCAGGGCAGCTTCCTGGGGGGGGCCGAGGCCTTGGTTCTCAGGGAAAGGCAGGGCTTGAGCTGAGCAGGGCCAGGCCGACTGACAGACAGACAGGCCTTGGCAGGACTGGCAGGAGTCTGGGATGACCTTCGGGTCTGGCTGGGTGGGCATGGGGTGGGGAGCTGTTTTCTAAGATGGGGACCCATGTGGAGGAGCAAGTTTTAGGGGACCCAGGGGAACCCCAGCTGTAGGGTTGTAGGGTTGAGGAGCCTGTGGGACATGGGGGCCCCTCCAACAGCTGAGAAGGAAGGTGGGGGGTTCAGGTGAGCTGGGCAAGGCCACTCTGAGCCGTAAGAGTGACCTAGGTGAGCTGGGGGCTGTCCCTGCTGTCAGCGGGAAGTGACCGCATCAGAGCGTCACACCCAGAGCCACCTGTGTAACAGGGACGGGAGCCAGGCCCTCCCAGGGCCACCAGCAGCTGCTCTTGGGCCGGGTGGGCCCACTCTGTCCTCTGTGGGCACTGTGGCATGATGGGGAGGTGGCACCTGGTGAAGAGGGCTCCGTTTCCCTCTGGACACAGGGGACAGGTTCCCTGGGCTCACAGCCTTCCTAGTGCCAGGGGCCCCAGGGTGTCTGGGGAGCACGGGGTCACTTACCCCTGCCATCAGGCCCACGGCTTCCCTCACGGTGGCTGCAACGCAGAGTATGGCCCCCAGGGTCAAGAGCCCCGCCAGGCTGACTCCTACAGAGAAGGCTGCAGAAGAGAGAAGGCTCAGGGCACAGCCAGGTGGGCGCGTGAATGCTTGGAGCCTGGGTCCAGTGTTGGACCCGGGGCCGCAGGGCTGTCCCAGAGTTCTGGGGAGGCTCTGAGTGGGCTGTGGCTGGCCGCCAGACGGGATGTGGCTCCCAGCCCATGGTCTGTCTTCTGAATGCTAAGAGACCTGGGGGAAGGCAGAGGAAGGGCAAGTCCTCGCCAGCCTGGGAGGCCCCTGCTGCACCCTCTGCCTCCTGCCTCCCAGACCGCTATCTCTGAAACCACACTTCCACTCCTCCACGATCTAGTTCAGGGGCCCATGCAGGGGTTATAATCTCTCCAGTCCCAGGGCTTCCTACTTTAGGGAGGCTGATGACCCCTGGGATTGAGGAAGGAAGTAGGGCCCCACGGGGCAGGAGGCCTAAGGCCCCAACCCCATGGGCCTCAGTGCCCCAGGTGCTGGTCTCTGCACCAACGGTTAGGGAGCTCACTGTGCCCTGCCCATCTGTGTCCCCACTTCTCCACCCCGGCTGTACATTAGAATCACCCAGAAACTTGAGGGACGGCTTCTACTGTGCGGCTCCACACAGCAGCTAGAGGGGTCCCCCAAGAGGCAGGCTGTGCCCCAAGCTCTGCTCAGAATCCTGCCCGGCCCTGACTTTGGCCACCTCTCTCTCCTCGGTGCTGTCTCCCTGGATCCCTTAACTCCAGAAACCATGGTCTCAGCCAGGGGACTTGCAGGGTTGCTCCCTGTGTCTGGAACATTCCTTTTCATGACCTGCTCCTTCCCTGGAACCCACAGGTCCCACTCCAACATGCCCTTATGAGGGAGCCCTTCTTAGGCATAGTCTCTGTAAGCGAGCGACCCCTCCAGCAGGCGGGGTTTTCCTCCTCCTCTGCGCCCCGATACATCGCATACACCTGGTGTACGGTGTACAACTGATATGGTGTATTATCTGATACACTGTGTACGCCTGACACACTGTATCTGTTCCTCGTGGAAGTGCTCACACAGTTCTGTGGAGTGTGTGACAGCAGTGACACTCTGAGCCCATTCCACAGGTCTGCGTGAATGTTTGGCAGTGTAGGGGTCCCTCCTCAAGGGAACGGGGTCCCCCTCGTTCCAGGGGCTGGGGGTCTGCAAACTGGCTCAAGTTTGGGAGTTGGCTGAGGGCTGTGACTCTCTGGTGGCTCAGGTCCAGCATCGGGTTTGACCTGGAACTCCCCGCTTACATGCGTCAGGCAAGAAGCTCCAGACCTCCCGTATGTTCCACCCCGCAGGACACTTGGATACTCCAGCCAATGCCTTCGGTCTCTGCAAGTCACTGTCCTGGCGCCTGCTTCCAGGTGGCCCGGCCCTGCCTGAGGGTGAGGCTGGCCATCCCCAGCCCTGCAGCTGGGACCCCAGAAGGGCCCTGCACCCCTGACGCCCTCTCTGCTGCCTGCCCAGGAGCGTGGCTGTCTAGGGTGACGGAGTTAGCAGCGACACGACTCTCCAGCCGGGCCTCCCCCCAGGTTAGAGCGAGGGGCTGGCAGAGGTGGGTCGGCTTGTGCGGGTGCACTGTTGGGGGGGAGGGGTTCCCCTGTCAGAAGCCCGCTGGGGGCTGGGCAGCCAGGACCAGCCAGGGGCCTCATGAAGACTCCCACTCTGTTAGCTGTCCTCCCGACCCTCCCACTGCCAGCCCCCAGCCCCAGGACCTTGCTTACCCCAGCGGTGCACAGGCTCGTAGGGGTTCCTCTCCAAGGACACATGGCTAATGACAGTAAAGGGGGCCCCGAAGCGGGTGATAACAGCCATGGTGGCCACAGACAGGCCCAGCAGCTAGGGGCAAGGAGGCAGACTCAGAGGGGACAGGCAGACAGACGCAGCCTCTGGACAAACGGGAAGGTTGAGGCCCCAGCAGGCAGGCTCCCTCCAGCTGCCCGCTCTCCCAAGACAGGCTCAACTGAGGGGTCGCAAGTTTCCTGCAGGGTGGTCCACAGAGGGACATGTCCGTGGGTGTGCTGCCATACACTCCTACACCCACGGACACACCAACACAATACACACACAGACACAGAGACACCATACACTCACACACTCACAGATACACTCACAGACACACCAACATAACACACACACAGACACACAGAGACACCACACAGACACACAATACACTCATACACTCACAGACACACCAACATAACACACAGGCACCAACACACTCAGACATCACTCACTCACACACTCACAGACACACTGACACAACACACAGACACAGACACACATACACTCACACAGAGACACCACACTTTTATATACTCACAGACATACTGACCCAACACACACACACACACACAGACAGCAACACACACAAACACCACACACTCATACACTCACAGACACACCAACATAATGTATACACAGACATACCCACACACTCATACACTCACAGACACACCAACATAATGTACACACAGACACACCCACACACTCACATACTGACCCAACACACACACACACACAGGCATCAACACACAGACACCAACACACACAGACACCACACACTCATACACTCACAGACACACCAACATAATGTACACACAGACACACCCACACACTCACAGACATACTGACCCAACACACACACACACACACACAGCAACACACAGACACCAACACACACAGACACCACACACTCACACACTCACAGACACACTGACAAAACACACACACACACAGACACACATACAGACACCACACAGAGACACAGAGAACCACACACTCATATACTCAGACACACTGACACAACACACACACAGACAGCAACACACACAGACACCACACAGTCACAGACACAGTAACACAACACACACACAGACACTTAGGTACCACATACACACCACATACACACATACACCACACACTCATACACTCACAGACACATCAACACATCACACACACACAGACATTCACATACAGACACCACAAACTCATACACTCATAGACACACTGACACAACACATGCAAACACACAGACACTGATACATTCACACACTCACAGACACCACACACACACACACACTGACATTCACACACTGACACACAGACACCACACGTTCACTCACAGACACAATGACACAACACATGCAAACACAGACACCACACACACACAAACACCCCCCCCACAATATACCCTCCTACACACAAGCTCCACACACAAACACACACACAGACAGAAACACCACATATGCCCCCACATGGACTCCACACAGTCACACACACACACAGACACCACACACTTGCACACACAGGCATCACACGCACACTCACTGTGAGCACCCAGTCTGTAGAGTGGGAAGTCGGCCCCACGCAGCCCCTGCCACCTGCCCCGTTCCTGGCCCCCTTCCCGTCTCTGTGAGCACACTCCAGGGCAGAAGGGGCAGCCAGTCGGTGCCAGGAAGCCCACAGCCCCCACCAGGGCACATAGACACGTCCACAGGGGCTGCATGTGTTCAATAGGGCTGCGGTGTGTGAGTGTATATGAATTACGTGTGTTTAAGTGTATGTGTGTGTGTGAGTATATATGTGGGTGTGTATTATTGTGTGTGTATGGCTGTGTAAGCGTGTGAGCATATATGTATGAGTGTGTGTGTGTGTTGTGTGTACATATGAGCATGTGTATGTGAGTGTTGAGGGTGTATGGGTGTGCATGAGTGTACATGTGAATGTGGATGACCATGTGTGTGTGTGTGTCTGTGTGGGTGAGTGTACATGTGAGTGTGGATGACTGTGTATGTGTGTGAGTGTCTGTGTGGGTGAGTCTATGTGCGTGTGTGTGTGAGTGTCCGTGTGGGTGAGTGTACATGTGAGTGTCCGTGTGTGTGTGAGTGTCCGTGGGGGTGAGTACGGACACAAAGCTGAAGCCCTGCCAACGTGGGCCTGCCCTCCCCTCCAGCCACAGCCTGTCCTGGTGCCGTCAGCCTCCCGCCCGACCCCTGTTACCAAGACAAAGAGCCCGGTGACCAGCATCTGGCATTTGGCGACCTTGACTCGGCTCCGAGGCCCCATGCCGCTGTCCTCCCTCCCCTCTGCTCCCTCTCCTCCTCTCCCCTCCCTTCCTCTCCACCCTGCGGTTTCCAGCTGGGTGGGGCCTTAGGCCACAGCAGCCCAAAGGCTGCTCCTGCACCTGCCTATCTGTCTGTCTGTCAACCCCGAGGATGGAGCCATAGGCTGCCCCCAGGCCTGGCTCAGGACACCAGGCACTGCTGATATGAGAGGTCTTTCCCGGGGAGGGCTGGGCCTTGGCCTTGGGGTGGCCATAGAGGACAGCATGTGGCGGGGGTGGATAGGAGCGGAGCCTGGGGAGGGGTGAGCTCCCCGTCATGGTAGTGTGCAAGTCCAGACTGTGGTCCTTGGAGGATTTGGGGAGGCAGCGTCTAATCAGGCTGCATGGCTGAAGCAGCATCCACCAGGCACCATCTGAAATTCGGTGATGGCCCCGTTTGTAGGACATTGGCCCTATTTCCAACCTCGTAGCCTCCGATGGGTGGGCAAAGGGGACAGTGCTGGCTGAGGTCCCGGGAAGCTGGCCTCACCCTCACCAGGCCTCCAGGGAGGTTTGCTAGAAGGATCTGTAATTAAATGAGTCAAACCCTGGGGGGAAAGGGCAGGGTCTGTGGTCTCAGGCTCTGGGCGGGGGGCCTGTGTGGGACATGTCTGGCTGGGGTCCCACCTCGCTCATGGTCCCTGAGGTGGCAGGTGGGTCAGGGGAGGGTGGGTGTCTGTTCAGGGCCCCTGGGCACTCCATCCCTCCCCCTCCATGTCTCTTTATGGGGGTGCTCCTGGACAGTGGGGAGGAGGCCCCAGATGCCGTGGGGTGTGGTAACCCCCTGTCTTCTAGAAGCAGGCAGAAACAGCCTGTGGCCACCAGTGATGTTGGGAAGGCGGCTGGTGACAGGTGGTTGGAGGAGTTTCCTCCAGCTGTTTGAGTGGGGACTGCTGGCGACATCTTGTCCGGCCCCACTCCCACTCCCTCTGCCCCAGTGGCCTGCCACCTCGCTCGATCCCGGTTGTGGGGAGCCCTGCTTGGTTCTGCAGGGGCCCTGAGGTAGCGCGGGGTGTAGTGGGCAGCTGGATCTGTGCTGCTTAGCTTGTCTCCTCCTGAGAGCAGTGTGGGTCATGGTCACCTGGAGTCACCCTTCCGTGACAGGAGGGAGGAAAACCTCACCATTTCTGCAACGCACACTCTACAGGGCTGGGGGGCATGGGTGCTGCTGCCCTCCCAGCTCCCTGGGTGCCTCAGGCCAGGTGTGGTGACCCTCCTGTGGCTTCAGAGTGGGCCAGGTTTGAGGTTTACCTGCCCGGCCGAGCACTGCTGTGCGCCAGGCCAGCTGTACTGACAGCCACATCTTCACAGTATCACTAAAAGACCGGCCAGAACCATTCACAGGTGGGGACGGAGGGCCCCAGGTCCAGCCATGCAGACTGACCGGGGTGGTCCCTCCAGGACCAGGCCTCTGATCGTGCCGCTCTGTCCCCCAGCCACAGCAGGGGCCCTGGCTGGCGTGTGCTGGGTGCTGCCCTCATTTGCCCAGGTGACCACGCCTCCCCTACTCCTCTTCACTGAGCCCCAGTTTCCGGCTTTGCAAGAGGAAGTGGATCTTGGGGCCCAGGTGCTGCCCGGACCCAGCCTGGGGTGCCTGTCCATACTCTCTGGGGGGCAGCGCTGGCTGAAGAGCAAGGAGGGGCCCTAAGGGAGCACCCCCATCCCGTCCTGCACCAAGGGGCTGGGCCAGGCTGACCCCTCACACATACAGACTCTGTCCTGGGAGTTAGGGCCCCTCCAGCTGGCCTTGGCTGCCGGGAAGTTTAATGTTATGTGTTCGCTTGGCCGAGCAGCAGTGCCTGACAGTTTGATAAAATGCTGGTCTCAGTGTTGCTGGGAAGGTGCGTACATGGATGAGCATTCGCAAGCATTGGGCCTTACGTAAAGGAGGCACCTGCCGTGATGAGCGTGGGCCTTGTGCAGTCAGTTGAAGGCTTTGTGCAGTCAGTTGAAGAGCAAACACAAGAGAGATTTCCAAGGAGAAGGATTCTGCCCCCAGACTTTAGGACAGACATCTGCTGAAATTCCCAGCCATCCTCCAGGCCTATGGTGCTGCCTTGCTGGTCCCCAGGATCCCATGAGCCAATCCTTAAAATAATCTCTCTCCCCTGTGTGTGTGTGTGTGTGTGTGTGAGATACTAAAAGCCCAAACCACACCCACTGCTGTGGAGTCCATTCTGACCCACAGCGCCCATAGAGGACAGAGTGGAACTGCACCACAGGGTCTCCAAGGCTGTCAGTCTTTGTAGAAGCCAACTGCCTCGTCTTTCTCCCACTGCGTGGCTGGCTGATGGGTTCCAACAGCTGTCCTTTCAGTTAGCAGCCTACCACTTCTAACCACTGCACCACCAAGGGCTCCTTGTAGCACATATGTACCCCTGGTAACACGGTGGTTAAGGGCTCAGCTGCTAACCAGGTTAGTGCTTGGCACCACCAGCCACTCTGCAGGAGAAAGATGTGGCAGTCTGCTTCCACAAAGATTTCAGTCTCAGAAACCCTTTAGCGCAGTTTACTTTGTCCTATGGAGTCACACAGGAGCTCTGGTAGTGCAGCACCTAAGGCATTTGACAGCCAACCAGAAGGCTGGCAGTTCAAACCCACCCATCACTCCACAGAAGGAAGACTGGACAATCTACTTCAGTAAAGATTTACCACCTTAGAAACCCAATGGTGGTTGCTATGAGTTGGCATTAACTCGATGGCAGTGGGTTTTTATTTATTTATTTATTTTTAATAGTGTCACTAAAGGAGCTCTGGAGGTACAGTGCCTAAGGCATTTGACTGCTAACCAGAAGGTCAGCGGTTCAAATCCAGCAGCTGCTCCATGGAAGGAAGATGGGGCAATCTACTTCCATAAAGATTTACAGCCTCAGAAACCCAATGGGGGTCTCTATGAGTCAACCCAACAGCAGTGAGTTTGGTTTTTGGATTTTATAGGGTCATTAAAGGGGTGTTGGTGGTATGATGGGTAAGATATTTGACTGCTAACCACCTAACAACACCCTAACAACCAGAAGTTCAGTGGTTCAAACCCACCAGCTTCTCTGTGGGAGGAAGATGAGGCAATCTACTTCCGGAAAAATTTATAACCTTGGAAACCCAATGGGGTTACTCTGAGTTAGAATCGACTGGACAGCCCTAGGTTTATATATATAATTGGATTTCACTATGAAGTCTAAGGTGCGCCTGACACACGCCATGGCCATGGTATTTTCAATTGCCTCATATGCATGTGAGAGCTGGACAATGAATAAGGAGGATTGAAGAAGAGTTGATGTTTTTGAACTGTGCTGCAGGTGAAGAATGCTGAAAGTCCCATGGACCGCTAGAACTAACAGATCTGTCCTGGAGGAAGTGCAGCCAGAATGCTCCTTGGAAGTGAGAATGGCCAGACTTGGTCTCACCTACTTTGGTCACATTGTCAGAAGGGACCATTTCCTGGAGAAGGATGTCATGCTTGGTAGGGTGGAGGGTCAACGAAAGAGGGGAAGGCCTTCAGTGAGGTGGATTGACACGGTGGCTACCGGTGATGGACTCAAGTATAGCAGGGATCGCGGAGCTGGTGAGGGACTGGACGGTGTTTCGTTCTGCTGTGCACGGGGTCGCTATGAGTCGGAGATGACTCGACGGCACCTAACAACTAACCACAACATGTGCATGTGAGAGCTGGACAATGACTAAGGAAGACTGAAGAAGAGCTGGTGCTTTTGAGTTGTGGTGCTGGCGAAGAGTGCTGAAAGTACCATGGGTTACGAAAAGGACTAACCAATCTGTCCAGGAAGAAGTGTAGCCAGAGTGCTCCTTGGAAGTGAGAATGGCCAGACTTTGTCTCACCTGCTTTGGTCATGTTGTCAGAAGGGACCAGTCTCTGGAGAAGGACAGGATGCTTGGTAAAGTGGAGGGTCAGCGAAGAAGGGGAAGACCCTCAACAAGACAGACTGACACCAGAGCTGCAAGGGGGACTCAAGGACTGTGAAGTTGGTGCGGGACTGGGCACTGCTTCATCCTGTTGTGCATAAGGTAGCTGTGAGTCCGAGCCGACGGGACGGCACCCACCAACAACAGTGACCGTCTTGGCTGCTCTGTTTCTCTAGAGAATGCAGGCTGGTGCAGCTGCTGTCTGTCTACTTCCAAGGAAGATGTTGACTGCAATACATTATCTACCAGATAGGAGCCTCCTTTCCCTCCTGCCTTCATTATTATTCACTATTACTTAATTGATTAATTAAAACAGTCTTGTCACAGAAGTCAGCTGAAAGAGCACCTGCTCGCCAAAGCTGGAACCATCTGAGCAACACATTAAATAAAGTAGCATTGGATTATAACCCAAATTATTAAACAAATATGCATGAGTCCACACTGACATGAACAAGTGCCTGGATAAAGAAAGAAGTGGGGGAGAAGAGATGCATCTCCAAGAGGGCAGAATTCCATATAGTTTGTGGAGATGCCATAGAGCAGGCAGAGCACCTGCTCACTCAGGGTGGACTGCATGGAGTGGGCTTCACGCATGTGGTGACACCCTTCCAAAGAGCACCATAGGGGGACAAGTCTATAGTGGAGGGGACTGGTGGCACTCCTTAGCCAGGTGCGCCAGGTCAACATCAACAGTGGCAACCAGTCTGATAGCATCTAGCCTTGATGTGATGTGACAAGGATGGAGATGCACCTTTGCGGTCTGCTTCCCTGCAGTGCAGGGAATTACATAATATGGCCTTTCTAGCCATGGTCCATTCCGTGATGCATTGTAAATCCTAGCCTCTATGCCTGTTTAAAGGAGCTTTGGTGATACAGTGGTTAAGGCATTTGGCTGCTAACCAAAAGACCAGCAGTTCAAACCTACCAGCTGCTCACGGGAGGAAGATGAGGCAATCTACTTCTATAAAGATTTATAGCCTTGGCAATGCTATGGACTGCTATGAGTCAGAATCAACTCAACGGCAGTAAGGTTTTTTTTTTTTTT